GAAACTCCAACTCAAAAAAAAAAAAAAAAGGTTAATAAATAAATAAACAAATAAATAAAACAGTAGGACACGATTTTCTTTTCTTCCTTGAGTCAGACTCTCACTGTCACCCAGGCTGGAGTGCAGTGGCACGCTCACAGCCATTGCAGCCTGGACCTGCTTGTTTCAGGCGATCCTTCTGCCTCAGCCTTCCAAGTAGCTGGAACCACAGGCATGCACCACTACACCCAGTTAATTTATTTTTTTTTTTTTTGTTGTAGAGACAAGGTCTTGCCAAGTTCCCCAGGCTGGTCTTGAATTGCTGGGCTCAGGTAATCCTCTTGCCTCTGCCTCCCAAAGTGTTGGAAATACAGTCATGAGTCACCACTCCTGGCTAGATACCATTTTCTGTTCCTTGGTTGGGGGTGAGTAGCTATCACATAGACCAATTTTCAGTTTTATCCTGTGCTGGAAAGGCAAATGGATATTGTCATGTGTTACTACTGGGAGTTTAAACTGGTATATTCTTTTCTGGAAAGTAATTTAACAAATAAAAGCTTAAAAATCAGCCGGGCTCGGTGGCTCAGCCCGTAATCCTGTGCTTTGGGAGGCTGAGGTGAGTAGATTGCCTGAGCCCATGGGTTCGAGACCCACTTGGGCAACTTGGCAAGACCTCATCTCTACAATAAAAATCAAAAATTAGCCAGGCGTGGCAGTGCGTGCCTGTAGTTCCAGCTACTTGGAAGGCTGAGGCAGAAGGATCACTGGAGTCCAGCAGGTCGAGGCTGCGGTGGCCGGGAGCGGCCACTGCACTCCAGTCTGGGCGACAGAGTGAGACTCCAACTCAAAAAAAAAAGCTTAAAAATCTTAACAGGAATTATATTCTTAAGAAGCTATATAAAGGAAATAATCAGGGATGTGCTCAAAGATTTATTCATTACGATATTCATTCCAGCATTACTGATAGAATAAGAAAATATCCTACATTTCAAACAATAAAAGACTGATTAAATACACTGGAAATTCTATGCATACATTCAAAACAAAAAGTCAAAAAAAATTAAATGGCATAAAATTGCATGTTCCTTTGTTCATAACTCCTGCTAGTTCAATATTCATACTGTCACCTCTCAGCTTCTGCACTTCCTCTCCTCTAACAATGCTGTCAGTTAATTCACCTCAGTCTCCATGGTCATGCCCTAGACTTGCTCATTCCTAGTAACCATGGCTCTCTTCAATCTCAAAGCCAAGAATGTGCTCTCCAATTGCCCCTTCCTTCCATCTAGCTCAGCCTTTCTTCCATCTATTCATCACTCTAACCCCTATTCACCATCCCTCATCTCCCCCCCCCCCACCGGGTTTAGATCCACTATAATAACAACACTGTAATCATGTCCTTGCTTACACCTTCAACTCTCCCATTTTATCTGGCAAAACCTCAACTCTGCTTAAATTCAGCTCTTCTCCCTTCTACTTATGCTGCACAAAGTGGCTGGAGGGGAAAAACAAAGACCAACCCACATAACCATGCTGCTGAAAGTTCAAGACTACTGAGCTCAAATGTACCCTTTGCCTTAACCTAGACAATACTAGACTTTCCTTACCCAGTTCCTCTCCAATTCTTCATTCCTTCTCTCTCCTCCAACCTCCTACCCTACTTCCTCTACCCATTCTCAGTGGATGACTCTACTTGCTATTTCTGAGAGCAGAGAATCCACCAGAAGAGAACTTTCTCAAGTTCCCTCTCAAACCCACCCAACTACAGCATCTGTGCCCATAGTCCTTCCCCCTCCTTGCTACAGTTGAACTATCCACACTTCTATCTCTAACCAACTCCTTCATTTGTGCACTAAATCTTGCCCCCTCTCACCTCCCCAAGGACTTGATATCAACAATTCTTTCCTCTCCTGGATCATCAGCTTTTCTCTTTCCACTGGATATGCCCATGAGCATGCAAATATCTTTCCTTACTCATTCCCTTCTGGGCAAACTACTTGAAAACTAGGTAAATAATAGTCCTCTCAAACTACTGTAATAATTTCCCAAACATCACCTGCTCCACAGCGTTGCTATAGAAAAGCAGTCCTGATGCTTATCAGTTCCTTAGTCCTGATGCTCCAAAGGAACTGACCCACATGATGCGGGTACATACTTCCCTCACAGCACTAGCAACTATTTTCCTAAATAAACTTTTTATTTTGAAATAGGTTTAGATGTACAGAAAAGCTGCAAAGATTTCCCAGTTTCCTTCAGTGTTAACACCTTACATTACCCTGGTATATTTGTCAAAACTAAGAAATCAACACTGGTATGTTAATAACAAAAATCCCAGACTTACTTGAATTTTATTAATACGAGTCTTTCCATTAATATTCTTTCTCTGTTCCAGGATTCCACACTGCATTTGGGCCAGAACCACATTGATGCTTGCTGTACTCTAAATGACTTATAAGCAAGGACTTTACTCTCTGTTTCTGTATTCCCAGTACCTAGCACAGTGCCTGGCACACAGTAGATGTCATAAGTTTAGCTTCTTAACTCTATCCCTAGTCATTTTTAATTAGTTTCATGTTGCTTTTATGTAGGAAATCTGCTCAAGCCTAAAGTCTAGGTGTTATCCTGATTCTTTTTTTTCTCTTAGATTTATTTTGTGTATTTTACTGTATATAAATTATACTTCAACAATAATAACAGGCCAGGCTCGGTGGCTCAGCCTGTAATCCCAGCACTTTGGGAGGCCGAGGCGAGTGGATTGCCTGAGCCCACGGGTTCAAGACCTGCCCAGGCAAATTGGTGAGACCTTGTCTCTACAATAAATCAAAAATTAGACGGGTGTGGTAGCGCGCGCCTGTAGTTCTGCCAACTTGGAAGGCTGAGGTGGAAGGAATGCCAGAGCCCAGCAGGTCAAAGCTGCTGCGGTGGTCGGGAGTGTGCCACTGCACGCCAGGTCTGGGTGACAGAGTGACACTCCAACTCAAAAATAAATAAATAAACATCATTAAAATTTTAAAAATCAAGAAATACCTGCCAAACGATACCTTATCCCCAAAATTAAAAAAAAAGATAAAGCAAGCACAGTTTAGAAGAAAAAAAAATGAAACACACACAAGGGCAGTAGCATCAATATAAGAAAATTAGCAGTTACAGCTACTTTATCTAAAGAAGTCACTCAGTCTGGCATGCTTATGGCTCAAAATGCAGACAATAACTAAAGGTATCAATCAATAATCAGATACTCTTAAGGCCTACAATATGCCTGGGTCTGAGCTAAGAATTTTGGAAGAAACTAATTTTTAAATTGTCCCAAAATATAGACTCTCTAGAGAAGCAGGAAGAGTAAAAAGGAGAAATAAATATCCCCTATCCTTTATAACATTCAAGATTGTTCATTTATTCTTTCAACAACCATATACCTATCTACAAAGCACCAATTACCCGTGATAAGATACAATGACTATGCCACTCATACAAGGCATAAGACCTGAAATATCAGGAGAGAGATAGTGACAATTGATCAGAGAAAAAGTTTCACTTCTTACAGGACTTTGCAGAATCATGGACACCCTCTTCTTTTGCTCCATCATATTGAAGTCCTGCCGAAGGTCTGGTGCCATGTTCCTCTCCCGCAAGTATTCTGGGTTGTTCTCATCCACTCTGTCGAAGTACCTCTCTTTGTGAGGAGCTGTGGTCGGGGGTGGTGAGGTCACCACTGCGGCCCGAGTATCACCATTCATTGTATAATCTTTCTAGGTTCCTACAGAATCACAATAAAAGAAATTATTGTTTTTTGTTTGTTTGTTTTGGGTTTTTTTTGAGTTGGAGTCTCACTCTGTCACCCAGACTGGAGTGTAGTGGCACGCTCAAGACCACTGCAGCCTCGACCTGCTGGACTCCAAGATCCTTCTGCCTTAGGCTTCCAAGTAGCTGGAACTACAGGCGTGCGCTACCACACCCGGCTAATTTTTTTTATTTATTGAAGAGATGAGGTCTTGCCAAGTTGCCCAGGCGGGTCAGAAATTATTGTTTTTGAATCAATGTCCAATAGTGTTTTATAATGAACATACCAGCCTGATAAATACAATCTTCAACATGAGGCCACTCTGACTAACTGACTGATTGACAGTAGAAGCTATGACCTATGAGGCTTCTTTGTGGCCTCAGAGGCACATGGCTAATAAGTCATCCCCTACCCTTCCACTAACCAATGGCATATTTTGCCCTGGCCTCAGAAGACAAAAGGAGAACAAAGCAATTACATCCTCTGACAAATCCTAAATATTACTCTAAAAATTAAACTTCTAACCACATGATAATTTAAAGTCATGATCTGCCCCACAGAGACAGGATACGCTAACATCAGCACAGGTTGCTTAAGAAGAAATTTGATTTCTGATATTTTTCCTAAAAAGTATAGGCAATGATTCTGCAAAAGATTCCCCAAACAGATCAATAGGAGAGGGAGCCGCTCACATATCTGAGTTCATACAAATGAGAAATGCTCATTATCATCACCTTTTTAATTCACAAAAACAACAGTAGATAGCAGAAATGTCACTATGCCCAAGTTTGTGAATAACCTAAAAAGACGCCAAGTCGGCCCAACTTTAGAAGTCTCCTAAAATGATTACTGACATTCCTTTCCTTTTAATCCAGTCTTTTATTTGAAATAATGTTCGAACACACTAAATTATGTTCATCCTTAACTACTAAGTCTTTAGGCAGTACCTTTACTTATCATACAAAGAGTTTGGATTACTAATCTATTTTTTTCTTTTGAGTCGGAATCTCACTCTATCGCTCAGGTTGGAGTGCAGTGGCACGCTCACCGTCACTGCAGACTCGACCTGCTGGGCTCAGATGATCCTTCCGTCTCAGCCTTCCAAGTAGCTGGAACTACACCCAGCTAATCTTTTGATGTGTTGTAGAGATGAGGTCTCACCAAATTGCCCAGGCTGGTCTTGAACCCATGGGCTTAGGCAATCCTTGCCCCTCTGCCTCCCGAAGTGCTGGGATTACAGACATGAGTCACTACGCTTGGCTACTAATCTGTTTTTATAAAACACTAAATGGTAGCTTTAACAATATATATGCAGTGTTCACTCAACATCTATTATATATAGTCACTCTGTGTTGGGCACAAAAATTAATTAGATATGGTCAGTCGGGCTTGGTGGCTCACCTGTAATTCCAGAACTTTGGGAGGCAGAGGTAAGAGGATTACCTGAGTCCACAGGTTCAAGACCAGCCCGGGCAAGTTGGCGAGACCACCTCTCTAAAATAAATGAAAAAATTAACCAGGCGCCATGACTCACACCTATAATCCCAGCACTTTGAGAGGCAGAGATGAGAGGATTGCCTGAGCCCACAATCAGCCTGGTCAAATTCGTGAGACTTAAATAAAAAAACTAGCTGGGTGTGGTGGCGCCCACCTGTAATTCTAGCTACTTGGAAGGCTGAGGCGGAAGGATCACCTGAGTCCAGCAGGTCAAGTCTGCAGTGACCAAGAGCATACCACTGTACTCCAGCCTGGGTGACAAAGTGAGACTCCAACTCAAAAAAAAAAAATTAGCCAACAATCATGGCACATGCCTGAAGTTCCAGCTACTTGGAAGGCTGAAACAGAAGGACTACCTGAGCCCAGAAGGTCAAGGCTGCGGTGGCTGTGAGCGTGCAATTGCACTCCAGCCTGGGTAACAGAGTGATTCCAACTCAAAAAAAAAAAAATTAGGCCGGGCGCAGTGGCTCAAGCCTGTAATCCCAGCACTTTGGGAGGCTGAGGTGAGAGGATTGCCTGCGCCCACAGGTTCAAGACCAGTCTGGACAACTTGACAAGACCTCATCTCTACAATAAATCAAAAAATTAACAGGGTATGGTGGTGCATGCCCATAGGTGGAAGGTTGAGGCGGAAGGATCACCTGAACCCAGCAGGTGGAGGTTGCAGTGGCTGTGAGTGCGCTGCAGTGGAGTGAGACTCCAACACACATAAAAAAAAGAATAAGACAGAAAAGATAAGTGATGAGAAACAGTCTCAGAAGCCATAGCCAGAAAGTTTTAATGTCAAATAAGTGACCAACAGTTCCTCAAGCAAGAGATCAACAAGATAAGGTTTTAAAGGGCTTATTAGCAACTAAAGAGTAACTGTTGCTCCTTCCTTACACTACACACACACAAAATTCCAAATGGATCACAAACCTAATTGTAACAGCAAAAACAATGAAATAAACTAGGCGCAGTGACTCATTCCCATAATCCAGTGCTCCGGGAGGCCAAAGTGGAAGGACTATGTAAGCCCAGGAGTTTGAGACCAGCCTGGGCGACACAGTGAGACCCTAATCTCTATAAATAATAATAATAATAAAAGAAATTAGTCAAGCATAGTGGCATGAACCTGTAGTCTCAGCTACTCAGGAGGCTGAGGCAGGAGAATCACTGGAGGCTAAGAGTTGAAGGTTGTAATGAGTTATGACCACGCCACTGCACTCTAGCCTGTACAACAGAGCAAAACTCTGCCTTTAAAAATAAATAAATAAAATGAAATACTTAGAAGAAAACAAAGGAGTAAATCCTTTTAATTCTGATTTAGTCGGAGTCTTCTTATACGGCAGACACCAAATCTTATATGACAGCAAAAATAAAAAGGGAGAGAAAGATAACTGGACTTCCTCAAAATTAAAAAGGTGCTTCAATAGATACTATCAAAAAAGTGAAAAGATAACACAAAGACTGGAAGAAAATATTTTCGAGTCATATATTTGACAAGTGACTTGTATCTAGAATACATAAAGAACTCTTACAACTTGGCCAGAAACGGTGGCTCACACCTATAATCCCAGTACTTTGAGAGTCCAAAGCAGGAGGATCACTAGAGCCTAGGAGTTCCAGGCCAGGCTGGGCAACATAGCAAGATTTTGTCTCTATAAGAAATTTTTAAAAAATTAGCCAAGTACGATGGCCCATACCTGTAGTCCTAGCTACTTGGGAGGCTAAAGTGGGAGGATGTCTTGAGCCCCAGAGTCAAAACTGCAGTTAAGACATGACTGCACCACTGTACTCCAGTCTGGGTAACAGAGCAAACCCTGTGTCTCAAAAAAACAAAGGCAAAAAAACCCTCTTGCAACTCAACAATAAAGATAATCTTTAAGAACCTTGAAAACCTTGATCACCGTGGATGCCACAAAGAGCAGAAGATTTGCCTGGCTGAGCCTTATGCTGCATAAATTCATGTTCTACAAAATCATGAGATGTGATAAAACAATCATTTTAAGCTGCAAAGTCATAGGATGGTTCATTGTGCTGCAATGAATAACTAAATAATGATGATAAGAGACAGAAGGATAATATTGAGCGTGCCACTGACCTCCAGCCTAGATGACAGAATAAGACTCCAACTCAAATATTGCCCAGACTGGTCTTGAACTCCTGGGCTCAAGCAATCCTCTCTCTTCAGCCTTGGAGCTATTAAGAATACAGACATGAGTCACCATGCTACGCTAAACTGTTAGCTTTTTTTTTTTTTTGAGTTGGAGTCTCACTCTGTCGCCCAGACTGGAGTGCAGTGGCCGCTCCCGGCCACCGCAGCCTCGACCTGCTAGGCTCCGGCGATCCTTCCGCCTCAGCCTTCCGAATAGCTGGAACTACAGGCGTGCGCTACCACACCCGGCTAATTTTTTGATTTATTGTAGAGATGAGGTCTCACCAAGTTGCCCAAGTGGGTCTCGAACCTGCGGGCTCAGGCAATCCACTGACCTCAGCCTCCCAAGGCACGGGATTACAGGCTGAGCCACTGAGTCCAGCTATAACTTTTAATGTGCATATGAATCACCTGGGAATCAAGTTAATATATAAACTGAGATTCATTAGGTCTGGGATAAAACCTGAAATTCTGAATATTTCATAAATTCCTAAGTGACACCAATGCTGCTGAATTTGGATCACATTTTGGAAAGAAGGTTTTGAAGAATAGTTTAATGGCCAGGTGCACTGGTTCAAACGTATAATCCCAGCACTTTGGGAGGATGAGGCGAGAGGATTGCCTGAGCTCAGGAGTTCAAGACCACTCTGAGCAACATGGCGAGACCTTGTCTCTACAGTAAATCAAAAACTTAGCCTGGCGTGGTGGCACATGACTGTGGTTCCAACTACTTGGAAGGCTGACTCCAACTTTAAAAAAAAAGAACAGTTTATTTATGTAAAGTATATGTGTAGTGTGTGTGTGTGTGTGTGTGTGTGTGTGTGTGTGTGTGTGTGTGTGTGTGTATAATTTTTTTAGATTGGAAAATAAAGTTTATTTAGAGAGTAAATTAGAAAGAAAGAGAGAGAGGAGACTCGCCTCTCCAAAATAGGGGAAGGGGCCAAAGCTTAGGAAACACGGGGTGGTAGCCATAGCTCAAAGAGCACACGGCCACACCACAGTTTAGTAAAGCAATGGCCTATATATATATAATATATATTTGTAATTGTGGAACCAACAGCCAAAGAATCAGTTGAAGAAATGAGTTTTGTTTGTTTGTTTAAGAAAAGATCAATGGATATTGCTCTTCTAAACCTAAAGATATAACAGAAAAAACAGCATGCTTAAAGGAGTACAATATCAAGGACTTAAAGACAAATTAAAACAACTGGAGAGGCTGTGCCTGGTGACTCATGCCTATAATCCCAGCACTTTGGGAGGCCGAGGTGAGAGGATTGCCTGAGCCCACAGGTTAGAGACCAACCTAGGCAACTTGGCAAGACCTCATCTCTACAATAAATTT